TGATCCATACTCCTGCTGGGGATCTCCAGGTGGGGGCCCCATCCACACTCTGGTCTTGCACCTCTGATTCCAGGTCCAGTTCCCTCAGAAAGCCCGCCAATCAGCAGCCCTGCCTCTAAGAGAGCCCACATGGTGGCTCACATACATACCCCTAACTCCTATTCCAGGGATCCAACACATATTTCAGAGGTCTCCTAACACTAGGCATGCATGTAGCACACATATACATAAGTCCAAACAAAACAGTAACACACATAAAATCAATCTTAAACAATAGCTTATAAAGTACATACAGACCGCCTTCACCCCTACCCAAACTTCCCCATTCCCAATTGCAGAGTTTTTGTACCTCTGTCCCCAGCCCTTACACACTTACTTTTCCAGAATGCCAAAAAATGGATCCCTGAAGCAGAGACTTCACCCTTGTCTTCTTTCACATTGTCTCAGCATTACATTCTGCTCTTCAGACAATAGCATGTCAGATACACCGCTGGTGAGATTCTAAGACTGTATCCGCAGCACCACTGATACAGAAACAGTACTCTGAATTCAGAAGCGTGCAAACACACCACATATTCAAATGTTATACAAAGAAGTTACAAAAAGCTAGCAGGAAACTTGTGGTGAAGTACGAGGAGGAAGTGGGTTAGAGCAGTTGGAGTGATTGGTGCCTTTTCTAAATTTAGTCAGAAGAAAACTGTTTTCTGTGGCTCACTGCCCTTAAGCTTGCTTAAGCTTACTGATTAGTATAGGAATGTTTTGAGTCAGAAGCCTTGGGGACATTTGCCCTGGTAAAGTGGAATAAGAACTAGGCCAGTGCAGGCTTGTGGTCCAACTTGTCTCTTGTGTAGAGAGGGTGCCTTTATCATGTCATCAGCTTGGGGACATTTGAGTGATTGCAAATGTTTCATTTTTTTTACAGTGATCTTTAATGCTGATACAAATATGCTCATAAAGATTTATTTTTCTTTTTCTTAAACCTTAAATGCAGGCTTTCCTTCCAGCATTGGGTATGTGAGTAGGATGGGGGCACATCACCATATTGTAGACTTCCTGGACAAACAGATTCATACTGGCTGCATAGTTTTGCCTTCCTGAAAGACTTTAGATTCACATCAGCAACTAATTCATCAACCTCCTGTTATTCAGTGATTTTTTTTTGCCCAAGACAAGTTCACAAACATTCTCCCCACTTTTTAAAGAATCCAATGACTTTACAATATTGAGCTTTGTGCTCAGGTCTACAGTTCATCTTGAGTCTTGTTTTTAGCAGACAGATACCAGGTTGTTCCAGTAGCACATACTGGAGCAATGCCACACTCTCCCTGTCTAAAAACTCTACATCTCTGTTAAAAATCTGTTGACCATGAGTGCTTGATATCATTTCTGGAGTCTTTTTTTCTGCTATAATGTTCTGTCTACTTGTTTACTAGCATCAGGCTGTCTTTTTTCTGTTCTTATAAATCATGAGATGAGGCACTGTGATCTTTCTGAATTTGACTTTTCTTCATAATTATTTTTGAATATTCTACTTTCTTTTTAGTTTTCTTAGTATTTTTTAATAATTTGAAGCTATTTTTTTTTCTGAACGCAATCACTTCCCCCTTCACCAGGAAGTGATACGGTGCTGCATATATAAACTTGTTCAGGAGTTGTTTACACATGAGCAATATTGAGTGTTTTGTTTTATCATGTGAAGCCTTTACTTATTATATTGTTCTGTTATTGAATAAAACTTGGGAGTCAGATAATGGGGTAAAAACCTGATTGATCAGAGAAGCAGTAGATAAGTGTCCAGTGACCTCTCTCTCTCCTTTCCAGATACAAAAGGGTTGCAAACCTTTCTCAACCCCTTCCTCCCACTTCCTATGTCTTTCTATTTGTATCCTGGGTCCTCCAAAGCCTCTATGGCTAGTTCTGGTCAGCTAGTCACTAGCTCCGTCCCTGGTTCAACGTTAAACTTTATTGGCAGGCTTGGAGTGTGAGTGTGAGCAAATATCTCAGATCAATTATGTGTTTAGATCTGTCTTGATTTCTTTCCTTTTTACGTTAAAATTTTCATGCATATGAGTATTTTGCCTGCATAAATATCTGTGCATCTCATGCATTCCAGTGCACACCAAGGTCAGGTGTGCACCAGCAACTGGAATTATAGATGGTTGCAGGCTTCTATGTGGGTTCTAGAATCAAACCCAGGTGCTCTTAACAACTGACCCAACAGTCTAGCTCTGTCCTGATTTCTTCATAACTTTAAATGCAGTTAATTATTGTGCTGATTATGAATCTTTTTTAGCTTTATAATTTTATGGTTTCTGTCATTACTGTAAATGGTGCTGTCTTAAACTTTAATTTCCATTTGACAAGAAAATTCAACTGACTTTACCATGTATCTTGCATTTACATTGTATCTTGCAGCTTTGTAAATTCATATTTTATATTCAGTAGTCTTTTACAGATTTGTCATAATTTTTATGCAGATAGAACTGCATAATCTGTGATGAGAAACACTTCATCTGATTTCAAGAAGTGTAAACCTTCTTTTATTTTTTTAAGAATCTTATCTTATATATATGGTTGTTTTGCCTGCACGTTTGTTCATAACATGAGTGCCTGGTACCTGTAGGGGGCGATGAGTCCCCTGGAACTGGAGTTGGCACAGTTGTAAGCTACCTTCTGAGCACTGGGAATTGAACCTGTGTCCTGTGGAAGAGTCATTTTAAGTCTGAGGAATTTTGCAGCTTCATGACCCTATTTCTTTACCCTTGGTGGACCCTTGTGAACAGAGAACGCTGGAACAGAGAGCAGACATCCTACTCCTGCTCCTGATTGCTGGGAAAGCATAAATCACCGCATCCTTGAGAATGAAGCAGAGTGTAGTTGCATTTATTGCTTTGTTTTTAATTGATAACTTTTATAGGGTTGAGGAAGTTGCTCTAATTCCTATTCTTGCATAATTTTGCTGTTTATTGATATTTCTATTTTCCTCTTTTCTTAGTGTGTTAATAGGTCTATTTACACTGAGTTTTCCCTAATGTTTTCATTACTCCTAACCAGAGCACTTTCTGAAGAGAAATCCAGCTGACTGTTGTTGTTTTTCACTGTGATCCTCAGTCCTTTAGGTTCCTGCCCTTTCATGATTCACCCTCAGTTCAGTAACCAGAAGACCCCAGGGACGTTCTGTTTCTAGCATCTCTAGTCTTCTTTCTGCCATGGCCATCCTTTACGGACCAGGGCCTTCTTTGAAAGGTGTTTGCAGCACTCTTTCAGATATATGTAGGGGATTGTAAGTGGATGTTTGTGCTAATTTTCTTTAATTTTTCTTAAGAAATTCTCCAAGTTGGCATTCTTATATTAATATTTTTCAGGTAAAAAGATCCAAGAAAAATATCTCGGAATCATCTCCCCCGTGTCTCCTGCTAGGCTTTGCTACCTCTGTGCAGTGATCATTGTCCTCATTTTAGCTGTGATTTCACCTTTTGTTTTTTTGTCAGGTGAGTGACATTCTCTAGATCTTGCAGCGTTCTGTCCACATCCACACTGGCAGTTACACTTACTGAGCCCTGAGAACCAGGCACTGTGGGAAGGGCAGAGAGAAAACCCACAGGAAATTCTTGTTCTCTGGGAACTTAGGGTCTAGGTGGAAGATGCAGTGAAGGAACAGCACAGGCTGTGGTGTGCACAGGAGGCCAGGCTCAGCATCACTGGGAAGAGCACATTCAGCAACCTCTAGAGAGATGCAGGAGACATGTTCACCTGGGGAAACTATTTGAGGCAGAGATCAAGGAGAGGAAAACTCAAAGGAAGAGCTAGGGGCAATGAGGGCAGTGAAGAATGGTATGGTTGGGGAGGTTGAAAACCCCCATAACCCATGGTTTATGTTAACATCATCAACTATGGTGTGAAAATACTAAGTAGATTATTCCAGACATATGTTATCCCAAGCTTCTAGTTTTAGACTATTCTGAATAATGTGATAAAATCTTTACAACTTTCTTGCAATAGGTGGAGTAAATAATTCATGATATTGTTTTATAAAGTCAACGTTAGCCACGGCACTGAATGATACACAAGTCAAACATGGAAACACATGCTCACAAGACTTAGGCAGTGTAAACTAAACTGTAATGTGTCTCTGAAAAGACTCAGATAAAAGGAATTGACAGTTGTCCTCAGTGCTGTTGCATTTGTTCCTTTCATTAAAGCCTCGTGGTACTGGGCATAAGAGCTGGGGATGGCTACACCAAATTGCCTTCCACTAAAAAATGTGTGTGGGTCATTTCTAGTATTTAATATTTCTTATCAATCACTTATTTCTAGGTTCACTAGCCCTTGAAAAGAGCCATGCATTTGTTCTTATCTGTTATTGGAAGAGAAAGGCAAATTTATGAAAGAAAAATGTTACTTTTTAACAAGTCCTGCATTTGGAGATTCACACACACACACACACACACACACACACACACACACA